TTTTGTTTGTATTTAACCCAAAAGTTGTGCTGTGAGGCTTGGCCACTTGAACTGGTGACCAGTAGGGGACAATATCACCATAATTCTTATAAACCAAAACAGGGTCCACAACACTTCACATCTTACAAACCTTAATGTACAACATTACTTAGTGTTCACACTACTCTTTAGCATTTAATCTTATAGCATGTAATCTTTTAGCATTTAATCTTAATGATGTAATGATTTGCATTGTATTTAATTTCCCATGTGTCTAATTCATATACTATATATCTCTCAGCCTAGCACACATATGTCCTGAGATGAATGAATGGATCTGGCATAGTTTAGCAGTATAATTTAAAATAAAACCTTGATCTAGCAGATATTTGCAGTTACATAAAGAGATAGCTGCAAGAATGCTCAATAACATTATCTATAATAGTAAAAATTTGGAAATAAAAATATGGTCCATCCAGACAGTAAAAGAGTATGCAGCCATTAGAATCAGGTAGCAAATAGCTCTATAGGTACTTCTCTAGGAAGAGACATAATATAGTATATGATTATCAAACAATGAGAAGTGGAAATGTGTCTATGTATATGTCTCTAAGTCTGGAAGAAAACATCAACATACTAACTACAGTTACCTAGTGTGGCAGTAAATTTTCTAGGAAGGGCCAATATAATTTAGAGACTGTGGGACATTAGCAGCTAAACAGTGCTGTTATTGTAATAAAGTGGCAAGACTGTGTCCCAGTAAAACTTGATTTACGGACATTGGAATCCCAACTTCATGTCAATTTCATTTGTCATGAATTAGTCTTTTTTTCCCCAATTAAACATGTAACAGTGTTTCAGTTTCTGGGCTATACAAAAACAGGTGACCCAAGGGAGTTGGCCCCACACGTTGGGATAGGTCAGTCCAGCCCCCATTGTAGAGGATGAAACTGAAGGGGAAGTAGGGGAATTAAAAAAGTAATGAGTTATGTGAGAATGTTATTTTTATGTTTTATGTTCCTCTTCTTCAAAGAAGAAATGAACAAAATGAGATAATCCCAAAATACCAACCATAACAAATATCAAAGGAGTATAGTCTTGATACTTGGAACTCACCTTGTTCTTGGACCTCACAGTGATCATAGCGCTCCCAAACCTTGAGCTTGCCTGTAAGATAAGCCGTGTTATTTTTCTCACCTTAAAATAAGAGAAAGGCTTTGTTTTTTTTCCGGGGGTGGGTAATTTTTCTTTCACCATTCCTTCAGGCAATACTTACTTCAGGAGAAATCAATACATATTGGGCCTAAAAGAAAATAGTGAGAAAGGGAGGCTATTAAAATTGGTTTTAAAAAAAACCATCGTGATAGTAATATCATACCCTTACATTGACATTCCTACATTTCTAGTGTAGCCTTTAACGTTTGCATGCTCTTTGGCACCAAAAATTCCACTTGCAGGAATTTAGCTCAGAAAAGAATTCATTAGTCTAATAGTACTAATAGTCATTTAAAAAAAAAAAATGGTTAAACCATGTTTTATCTGTAAATAAAATAGTAAGCATCCAGAAATGTGTTGTAAAAAATACAAGCTGGCACAGAAAAATCCTACAGTAGTGATAAAATCAAATACACAGTTGCCTACAAAATCATCTGCGATAAGATGGTTGTTAACGTACACAGTGAACATCAGCAGCAACTCTTGGCTCGAGTGCCTGCTGGGCCATTTCCTAGCAATTTGATTTAAAACACCTTTTCTGATCTTCAAGTTCTCTATCTGTAAGTGGGCACAAGGCCCATTTGGTAGCTTCAGTGTGCTTAGCGTAGTGCTAGACAGAGGAAATGCACCAAAATGGTATCAAGGTCATAGCAAAATACTAGGCAATATATATCAAAGGCTAACATGCACCTCTGCTGAGTCAAGCTCTAGGTAGGTTTATTTGTGCTTTGTAAGAATTTTACAATAAACCTTTTTTAAAGAGGTGGGGTGGGGGCCTCGTGGAGGATTATGGGTGTGGTAGCATACATCTTAAGAGATGTGATCCTGTACCTCTGAATCATGTCCAATATTGCCTCAATAAAAAAATAATAATGGGTCAGTGTTTAATTCCAGGAAACCTGAGCATGGGAACAATGAAATAGGAAATCGGTACTCCAAGGGGTTGCAGCCAGATTCCTTCTGTGGTCTCTAACCAAGCACCAGAATGATACCAAGTCCAAGTAAACTTTAGCTCTAGGGAAGTGCTGCAAAATGCAAGTACCTGGGCCAGTGAACTACACGCAAGTGATTGTGCCCTTTAACAAACCAGGACCTCCCCATAAACATGGTAAATTACAGTGGATGTAACAAGGACTTGGCAAAAGGCCATCCGTTCCCAATAGGGTATAGACGTTTATATGAGAACACTTTACCTTTTCTTCTGGACATGGAGTAATCCATGATTTACATTTTCCTGTCACGTCACCTAAGGTGGTGTGTTTGCCATTGTATACATAAACACGGCCATCTTCTCCCCCAATCAGTCCGGAGGTCACATCTGCTATCCTCAGTGGGGCTGCCATGATGATTTCATCTGTAAACAAAACCCGCCAGAAGAAAGTTTCTTGTCATCCTTTCCATTGTTCCCCTACTGGAACCTCACCCAGCCTCCCAAATATTACTAATGTGCTCTTCAATTAGCCTACCCTAACTGTATCCCATCATAGTCAAAAGCTTGTGTCATGATTTATCACTAACGATTGACATGGGTGACTCATATTTACCACCCTCGAAGAACAACTCACTCTTGTACATCTGGCGCCAGTCTCACCTGACTCAATCTACCTAAAGGCCCTAGGGCCCTGGACTGTCAAGCACAAGGACAGAGCCTAGATGATCTGGTTAGGGGACCGGTCTGATGGGCAAATGCACTAATTCTTCCCTACCTAAGCCATCGTTATCCAGGTCACTAAGGTGCAGAACTCCACCAAACCGAGAAAAGCGGCGGTCTCCACTGAAAGTGCTGAGCAGAGAAGGCTGGGAGTCTGGTGTCAGTTCATACATCCGAGTAGTTCCGCCTTGGTGCAAGGTCATGGTCAGGAATGCCATTTTGGACACATCATCTGAAATAAAGCACAGTACAATTCCTGCTGCCATCCTGAGAGCAAAGCTAGGATGCAGAGCACTGAGTAAAATCTCAGCGCCACAAGGGACCCAAATCACTCAGTCATACCGGACAGACTATTTAGTGTCAGTCAACTCTTAACTGTCAGGAAGGTGAAACTATCTGGGACCCCAAGACCCAGACATTTGAGAAAGTTCAGTGATATCCCATCAGCCTTTTCAGTCTTCCACCTCCAACATATCCTCCACACAGCTCTTGTTTTACATCACAAAGCACCTATGTCACTCTCCTGACTTAGAGCCACTTGGCTGAAATCCAAACTCTTCAAGAATCTAACTCCTACTTGGGACTCTAGCATTCTTTGGGGCCACACCACCCTGGCTCATTGCAAATTTAAACCAAGTTTAATATTTCTTAAATCTAGGCCTTTGGAAATGATGTGCTCTCCGCCTGGAGTAGAGACCCCTCAATTTGAGACCCCAGAATTTGACGGAAGAGTCGCCTCTTCTGGAATCCTTTCCTCACCTCCCTGATCTAGAGTAGGTGCTGGTCCCTCCTGCACAGTCATCACCAGGGGGCAGCACCAGCTCCTGTGTCCCAGCCTCAGGCTGTCAGTTTACATGGTGTGTATTTCTGTCTGCAAAATGATACACAGATGCAAGTGTGTGAGGTGACATACACACACGTACATATAATCACATGTTTAACCAAAGTGCAGACTTTTGAAGATTAGGAAGTTCTATATTCTTTTTACATTGAGGCCATTTCTAACTTTTTGCTATTATAAATAATACCATGATAATTCTTCCCCAGTTTTAAATATTTTCTGAGAACAAGTCTTAGAGGTGGTCCACACAACATCCATGGGGACTGCCTTTTTTGAAAGGCTTTTGCCCTGTTTTCAAGCAGTATAATGGTCCATATCTCACTTCCGCCTTGCCACCTCTGAGTGTTTTTCATACTGTTAAGTATTTGACAGTTATTAATCAACACCCAAAAATTCCCACTAAATATTTGATTTGATTCTCAACTGCACACTGAAGCACTCTGCTGAACTCACAAGGACGCTGCAGCTACTTTGAACCTTTGAAGGTAGCACAATGACATCTGTCTGATGCTTCATCAACTACCCGGAGGCATTCACAGTGTCAACGCTAAAGCCTTACATTCCTTTTGATGACATCCTACCTTTGCAAAACTGGGGTTTCCATGGTTGTTAATGACAAAATGATGGCCCCAGGAGCAAAATCAGTGTGGAATGGAAACAAGATTAGTAGTGTCTGAAATGATTCCAGGGCCTCCCTGGTGCCATAAGGGGTTAAGACGCAACCTATGAAGCTTTCCGCAGCCACTGCAGCACATGTTCGATCCCTGGCCAGGGAGTGACCCACATGGCACAGCAGACCTCTCTTGACTTCCCTGCTGCTCCCCTCAGCAGTGTATTTCAGTCAGTCTGCCTGTTCTGTTCCCCACTCTGCCTCTGGTGAATCCTCTCACCCCCACACCTCTGGCCTGTACCCCAATTCTTGTATGCATAAATAAATAAATCTTTTAAAAAATGATTCCCGGGTTTCAGAAGTCGTCCAATGGCCAAAAGGAGCTAACTCGTGTGTGTGACATATGCAGTCACAGCAGGGGTGGGGTGTACACTTAGAGAGGTGCTGTGTTTGGCTTTAGCCTCCTGTCACCAATTTGAAAATCAGAATAATTTTATAGCAAAGGATTCTGCATTTTTATTTTGTTTTAGGGCCCATAGATTATGGTGAAAATGGGAAAATCTCAACAGATCAGATCGGTGGAGTATACCAGCGTCGATAACCTGGTTGTGATATTATAGTTTGCAAGACAGTGCTGGGGAAACTAGATAAAATGTAACTGGATCGCTCTACTTTTTTCCTGCAAGTGCATGTGAATTTATAATTTCCAAAAGTTTTATAATAGATATAGACATAGTCACCATTTTATTTTACAGACTATTTTAAAACAAAATTACAAAGATAGCAAGGAAGTGAGAAGCTCTAATTCACAGCATTCTGACAGAAAGACCAGTGAGACCAATAAAACCAGTAATGTGTGTTGCGAAAGCTGAGAAATCTCTACCTAGATTCTGTAAAGGAGAAAAGAAAAGGAGATGTTATCCCAAAACCAAGTCAGCCAACTCTTAGCGTTCTAATGCTGTGTCTTGTGTCACGCAATACAAATTATAGCTATTCCGTTGCACACACTTCTGCTTATCAATCATATCTTCCCCATAATGTATTATGCAAAACTTTCTGAAAAATAATCTGTCAATATGTAATAAGAGCCTTAAAAAGATTAGACCCTCTAGTCCAGGAAGTCTACCTCCAGGGATCAATCTAAAAAAACGATTCACAAAGGCCATCAGATTTATGCACCTGGACTTCAGTTACACCTTATCCTCCATGGTAAAAACCTGGAAAGTCTAGATTTCCAGCAATAAGATTATGTTAGCAAATGTTGGCATGCGCCTATGGAAATCTGATACATTTATCAGAAATCAGTTTTAGAAGAGTATTTAATGACATATTCACATACTATCTGGCTGGATAAGGGGTGATTTATATATATGTAAACTTCCTTGTATTTTCATAACAAACATAACTCTTGTAACCTTGGAGGAAATAGTTTAGTTAAACTCTCCCACACTAAATCAATCTTTCTTTTTGTGTAGAACTGGAGTATAGGTCAGAGGTGCAGGGGGGGTGTCAAAGGATTTATCAGAGACAGAGTGGGGAGCACAACAGGTAGATTGAATGAAAAACATTGCTAAGGAGAGCAGCTGGTGAGCAGGAGAGATCTGCTGCACGTATGTGGGTCAGCTCCCTGCCTGGGGATCGAACTCAGGCCATAGCAGTCATAGTGCTGAGACTTAACCCCTAGGCCACCAGGGAGGCCCCCCACACTAAATCTTTCATGTGTGATTTTCGACAATCTTTGAGGTGGGAATTATAATTTGTATCTTGCAGACGATGATACTAAGGTTCAGGGAGGTAAAGTAATTTTACCAAGGTCACGCAGCTTGCTATTAATGAGAAAAGAAAGCAGTCCAAACAGTTCTAACTCCAGATCTCATGACTTGCCCTCAATATAGTCAAGGAACCACATGACTAGAAAGAAATGCTTCATGTTTCATGACCTACCGTGAGTTGGGGCCCCAACCAGAAGCACTTGTCTCTGGGTTCCGTTCACCATCACGTAGCCACTTGACAGAGAAGTACCCAGCTTCCCCATTGCCTGTGAAACGCAGTCAATCAATAGAGCATAGCACTTAAGAAAGCTCCCTGTGACCTCCACTGTCCTGGGAGGGAGTGGCCCCCATACCTTGTCTCCAGAAATAGTAAACCGGCTTTGGCAGTTTGGTGGGAAATAGCCATAGACCCGTCCAAGACTCTGTTTCTCATCCTGAGTGCGGAACAAACTGCCCAAACTAGAAAGAAACACACTGGGCTTAGCTGCTGAGACAGAACTGGCTGGGTATTCAGGTGCAAGAAAAGGGCACATCTCCACCTCACCCATATACCCCTCCCGCACGCCTGGGGATGGGGTTGCTCTCAGAGTGAATCCCAACATCAAGATTCTCCAGACACAGAGTCCACCATCTTGCCTCTCAATTAACAGCAGAGCCTGGGATACCTACTCTTCTGGGCTGAATTTTTATCTCCCCCAAATTCATGTGCTGAAGTTCTAACACCCACTGCCCCAGAACGTGACCTATTTGGAGATGGGATCCTTAAAGAGGTAATTATATTAAAATGAGGTCATTAGGGTGGATCCTAATCCAATATGAGTGGTGTCCTTACAAGAAGCTATCAGGGATGGACACACAGAGAAGACGAAAAATAAGGACAGAGGGAGAAGCTGGCCATCTACAGGCCAAAAAGAGAGACCTTAGAAGAAAACAACCCTGCCCGTACCTCAATCTCCAATTTCCAGAACTTGAGAAAATTAATAGTTTAATTAAATTAATAGCGCTGATAGCACTGAAACAGTGCTATCCATATGGACAATTCCTATTGTTTAAGGCCCCTAATCTGCAGTACTTACATGGCAACACTGGCAAATTAATGCAACTATCTACCTCATTTTTAAGCTTCTAAGGGGGCCTCCTTGGTGGTGCAAGGGATTAAGTGTCGGCACTATGAAGCTATCCACAGCCACTGCACCACGAGTTTGATTCCCAACCAGGGAGGTGACCCACATGGCACAGCAGCCCTCTCCTGTCTCACCCGCTGCTCCCCTCAGCAGTGTATTTCAGTCAATCTGCCTGTTCTGCTCCCCACCCTGTCTCTGGTGAATCCTCTCACCCCCCGCACCTCTGGCCCATACCCCAGTTCTTGTATGCATAAATAAATCAATCTTTAAAAAAATAAAATAATAAACTTCTAAGAGGACGAACTTGCAACTTTTTCCCAGAACCTTAGCTTGTCCTTGATGGGTGACAATTTCTTCACCCCTCTTTCTGAACCCTACACTTAATGGGTTCCCACGGCAGCAGGTACCTACCCTTTGGGCTGCCTTGGATCCCAACATGTGCACTCACCTGCTGGCATTCTTCCAGGTCGGGCTCCCAACCAACAGCAAAGTTCTGTTGTTCACGCTGACCCCGTGAAGCGAGTATCCCAGCCAGGAGAAATCTTCCTCGCCTTTCACCATCCAGTTGGCCGCCTCCACGTTCAACTGTTCTACACAAAACAACCAGTCCCTTCTACTTTAGATGGGAGGGATGCTGAAGTGGCAAGAGTTATCTTTGGAGGCTAATGAGAAACAAATTCATTCTGCTGAGATTTTGCCAGAACTCATATGCCCCCATGCAGTTCCCATTCAGAAATGGATCTGCCACTTCATACAAGAAATAAGTTTGTAGAGCTCACTTCTGTGGTGCATAGAAGGCTACTTAAAAAGAGCCTCTCTCTGGTATAGCATAGAGTGTAACATGTTACTTCCCAACTTTTGGAATGCCAGCTCTTTTGTAAATTTTTCATGACATTTAAAAAAATGTATTGTTGGGCCTCCCTGATGACGCATAGCACCGTGCTATGGAGGGATCCGCGGCCTCTGCAGCACGAGTTCAATTCCTGGCCAGAGAGAAACCCACATGGTGGAAACAGATCTCTCCTGTCTTGCCCGCTGCTCCCCTCAGCAGAGTATTTCAGTCGGTCTGCCTGTTCTGTTCTCCACTCTGTCTCTGGTGAATCCTCTCACCACCACCACCCCTTCTCTGGCCTGCGCCCCAGCTTGTATATGCATAAATGTATAAATCTTTGAAAAAATGTATTGTTAATGCAAAATTTTTTTAAAAAGCGCCTTTGGACAGAGCACCACTGGGGTGCTTTTATTAGTGTTTCAATTCTTACACCGGGAAGCTATGAGAAGAATCCATTGGCCCTGGTAAATTTGGATCTAGAAGTTGGGTCCTTTTTTTGTAGCTTCAGGGAATCTATCCCTATCACTCACCATAACATCTGCAAAAGTAAAAGACTATTAAAAAAATGGAGGTGAAATGATATGGAAAGAGGAAGTAAAGACATAAATCATATAGAAAAGAAGTCATTCCAGGCATAGAGAACAGAAGGTAACCACCCATCCCTCCAGCCAGCACTACCTTTGTCAGTCCGTCTAGGGTCAGAATAAAATGCAGCCACAACTCCCTTCTGTTTCCCTCCACCTGGTGCAAAAGGGGAACCAATCACCAGATCAGGCTTGTTGTCCCCATTCATATCTGCAGCCAAGAGTGTCCAGCCCAAGTTACAGTAGACGTCCTTAAGAAGAAACCACATTTGACTCAGCCTTGGGGCCAGTTAAGATACAGTGAATGTTAGTTTTCTGCATCTGGCTACGGTGATAAACATACCTGACAAGAGATGGTGATGTTGGGGGAACTTGCCATTCTCCCTTGCTTGGAACCAAAGTAGATGTACACTGTACCCTAGGCAAGGACAAACCTCAGGAAAGTCAGATGGCTCATGACTTTAAATAGCAAGATAAAGAACCTTAAATTGCAAGACAAAGATGGCTAATGATAAATCACCATCAGAGCTCAGGGACTGACAGAAACCTGTTCTAATGGTTGCTGCTGAGCTAAAAAAAAAAAAAAATACTTTTTTAAAGCTTATCATTTCCATCAGACTATTAGAGACCCCAAAGTAGAAACTGTTATTTCTATCTTTGCCTCCACAGTGTCTTGCCCAGGATCTGACATCCATGACTGTTGACTGCATTTGCAGAATAACTTGTTCAGCTCCTCCCCCTTCAAGGCCCTGCTGGATTTCTGGCTTTTCCAGGAAACCTACCCCAGCCCAGCCCATCATTCCTCTGAATACCCTGTTAATACCATTCATTTGCCTTGGGACACGTGCTGTACTTTCATTCTGATTTATCAACCAGTTCCTATCTTATAACTTGCCTGTCTCTAGGCCTACCCATTACACAAGCAGTTATTTCCCATGCGGGGCTAAAGACTGGATATACAACAATAAATAAGACCAATCTGTGGCCTCCTGGAAAAGTACCTGATGGAACTGGAAAACCATGAGGCCAAATCAAAGCCAGGAAGGCAGGACCAGGTAACCCAAATTCATGTCAAGGACCCAAGGAGGTCCCTGAGGTCATCTACCCACAAATGTTCTGCCAGATAGTTGGCTGGCTGTATTTCTCCAGAGGTTCTACTCAGCACTGGCCTCCCCTCAGCAGCACCTCACCTCCCCCAGCTCTCCTCCCCCACCTCCCCAACTCCCCAACTCCATCAGCAGCCTTACCTTATATGTGAGCTCCTCCGAGCCCACTGAGGGGGCCCCCACCGCCAGGTCAGGCAGGCCGTCCTGGTTAAAATCTAACACGGCCAAAGCTGACCCAAATCGGCCTGAGGGCTGAAGAGGCACAAATTAATTTTTCCTGGGCTGAGGAAAATTAAAATTTGCAAAGAAGCCCCAATTCTCTGGCAGTAGAGAGGCCGGGGACCCCATCCAGCATGCAGAGGGACTGGGGCACAAAATTAGAACAGCATGTTACACACCCAGGAAGTGTCAGCTAGGTAGCTTGGCCCTCAGGATATTTTTGGCATGTCTGTGTTTTTAGGGGAAGATGAAGTACCAGAAAGAAGGTAGTCGAAGGTATTCTTCTAAGTCCTAGGTCTTTACAAAATGGGCTGGTGTGTACTCTATCCTACACAATGGCCAAACTGTTAACAGCAGCTAATATGTGTTGCGGACTCAGGGTGTTCACTGTCCATCCAGTAGCCACTAGCTAAAGGTAACAATTGCACTGACATTTAAAGTAACAAGAAACAGGGGCCTCCCTGTGGTGCAGGGGTTAAGTTTCAGCGTTATCCATATGGACAGCCACTGCAGCATGAGCTCAATCCCTGGCCAGGAGCTAACCCACACATAGCTCAGCAGACCTCTCCTGCCTCGCCCGCTGCTTCCCTCAGCAGTGTATTTCAGTAGGTCTGCCTGTTCTGCTCCCCACTCTGTCTCTGGTGAACCCTCTCACCTCCCTACACCTCTGGCCTACACCCCAGTTCTTATATGCATAAATAAATAAATTGAATCTTTAAAAAAAAAATAAGGTAATGGGAAACAAAACAAATTCAGCTCCTCAGTTGCACTAGCCATAGTTCAAATTCTCAAAAGTCAGTGCAGCTATTGGTTCACACACTGGACAGCCCAGCTGTAGATCATTTTCATCATTACAGAAAGTTCTATGGGACTGCAGTGCTGGAGACAACATTGTAAGCACTTTACATGGGTTAAGGTAAGGACTGTCGCTACCAGCCCCTTCATAGTTTGTAGATGGAAAACTCAATCCTGGAATGGTGTTCTTCCAAGATAGATTTTCTAGATCTTTCATCTCCGACTGTCTAGAGTCAGCTTAGACTCCAACGTAACTCATTTTTAGGTTCTCAAATTCTTTCACAACATACATACATATGAATAGTCTTGCACAAGGGGATATTTGCCACGTAATACACATGCCACAGGGCCAACATCTATTATTTATTGCCTAATATCTGTATACCTGAGAGCAATGGCATCTGTGGACACTGCCCTTTCAACAAGACTGGAACTTGATAAACAAGAGAGGATATCCAGAACACAAAGCACACTGGGGCAGGGTGGGAACAACAGGTCCCCTCTGTCAAGTCAGGATGGGTTCATTTCATCACTACCAGCTGCGCCACCAAGCCCTTCTGTTGATCCACCAGTCATTCCAAGGAAAACACCTAATGTTAAGATGGGCAAATGCTTGAGAGTTGCATCCTAATCCTTCAGTTTATAGGCAAGGACACAGAAAGGTAAACAGACAAGGGAAACAGTAGGGGATTCCCATCCCCTAGTACATGCTTTAATTAAAGCACCTTCCAAATTATCAAAGAGAGAAGAGGGCATGGAGCCTCCTCCATATCCTTGCTTCAAATATCTTAGAGTTTATCATCCATAGGGTGCAGCTGTCTCTCTTGTTCCCTGCCTACAGGAGCCCAAGGAATGTATTTTACACAACATTGATGGGACTAGCTTCATGAAGAAGTAGGAAGCAACAGGAATGAGTCACTCTATTTTGGAAGTTTCTCACATGGTTTCAGAAAACACTGTCCATGGGTGAGCATGTGAGCTCACACGCTGGCCAGACAACTTACTCACACCTTTCAGATTCAGGACTCCTGCTCTCAGAACCTAAACTAGATCACAAACCATTGTAGTTTTCATTTCGTAAAGGTTGTTCAGGCATGCCATCTTATTTTATCTTCACAGCATTAATGCTGCTATAACAAGAAGTTGAGTCAAGAACCCTCTCACCAAGAATGAGAGTTTCTTTTCTTGTCTTTGATATTCAGAGCATGTGGTGCCCCAAGGCCCTCACAGTCATCTGTGACTAGTAGCAGGGCTACCTGCCCGGGGTATTGCTCTTGTAAGGACTCATGTCAATGATGCTCTGGAGGAAAGCCACCCAGGGCCCACTGCTCCCAGCAAGAAGAGTTAATGCTCAGTCCCTGAGGAGTTTCCTGGTGATAAATAACTCCTTAAAGGAATGAAATCCAAGCAAAGTGATGGACCAATGTTGCTTTCTTCATTTTTGACAAGTCTACCGTAATTATGGAAGATATTAATATAGGAGACTCTGGTTAACAGGTAAATGGGAACGCTGAACTGTCTTTAAAAATTTCCCATGAATCTGAAAGTCTTACAAAATAGAACCTTTATATAAAAAGGGGAGGTTTGGTATTATCAAGAAATCATCCCCTAGGGCCTCCCTGGTGGCGCAAAGGGTTAAGCACCGCACTATGACGCAATCCACAGCCTCTGCAGCATGAGTTTGATCCTCGGACGGCCAGAGAGAAACCCACATGGTGAGGCAGACCTCTCCTGACTCGCCCGCTGCTCCCCTCAGCAGTGTATTTCAGTCAGTTCATCTGTTCTGCTCTCTACTCTGTCTCTGATGGATCCTCTCACCCCTCCCCTGCATCTCTGGCCTATACCCCAGCTCTTGTATACATAAATAAATAAATCCTTAAAAAAAAATCACCCTCTAATGGACTCTTCAAAGCAGTTCTAAATTGTATGTTGGTGAGACTCAGAGGAAGAGACAGACAGAGAGAAATGAAGCGAACATGTTTTGAAAACTGAAAAGTGCTATTTCTTACTATCATTATTCTTGTTAGGGGTAATTTGTCCTGGAGAATTTTCCAGGTAATGTGGGCAGAGGCTTACTGACACTAAAGGGGGAAAGCCTAACATTAGTGTCATACCTGGAAACCCTCCAGGATCTCGTGGGCCTCCATGTCCAGGTCCACGTCGATGGGGGGCAGGCCCAGGTCATTGCCATAGATGAGGTACACACGACCAACCTGGATGTGGCCAGGGTGGCTGTAGCCCGGGGCACCCACCACCAAGTCACCATAGCCATCCTGGTTGAGGTCAGCTGAGGCCATTGCCCTGTAGGGGAAATGAGGAAACCCACCACAGTGACGATGAGAACTCTGGGTAAAACTGTCTCCTGCATCTTCCTTTTCTAGAATCTAACATTTTGACTTCCTCTCAGTGGTTCTTCCATCTGCATAACAGCTGAAAATATGAGATCAATATTGTTTATGTAATTCACAGTCTTGCTCTCCAAGAAATTTAAAAAATCAAGCTGAACAAGTTAAGGCTCTGGGCTTTTCTGGATCATATAACCTGAGTAGCTGAAAAAGCATGCGCACAAGGCATCCTGGCACATATGAAAGCCCAGAGCAGCAGCAAAATCCTGGGCTGACCTGGTAACCAGAAAAGTCGTCTTTGCCAACCCCCTGCAGCTCATGGCACATGTCCATTTCTAATCTGCTCAACTCGTTTTAATTTGCAACCTGACCAACAAAGGCAAGCTTGAGTTAAATACAGCATTTTATTTCTACCATAGCTATATAGGGTGCCTTTCATTGGGCAAAAAATTAAATACTTGACATATTTAGCAGATCTTTCTAAAGGTGATTCCATGATCTACTAGTTATAGAGATCAACAAAATGAGACAGAGCTTGAAATGTCTCTGTTAAGGGTGGAGAAACCAAAGTCACTTATTTATTCTAGTGCGGCAGGCTGCGCCTCCCATGCTGTCTCTTCACAAGGTCCGGGGTAATTTGTCTCCCGGGAGTCGGGGGAGACTCCCGAGAAGCGGGGAGTTCCTGTGCTCCCCCGAAGAGGGAAAGTTGTACTTCCCAGAAGAAGGAAGTTCTTGCACTTCCCAAAGAAGATCTGAACTAGGGAGTCTCCATGGCAATGCCTGCTAATGCTCTCCTCTTTGTTCTTAGTTAATGCTGAAGTAAGTCAGTTACAAATTGGCCTGTGAAAACCTAATTCGGACTCAGGTGACAATTGGCTTATTGTTCTTACGCATGAACTATCACAAAAGTAAAATAATTGTTTAAGGTATTGTTAGGAAAGAAATGTTTTGGCCCTGAGAACTATGGAGAACAAGCTGCCCTGAACCACCTTTGCTTGGAAACCATAGCCTAATATGGGGGGTACCTGTTTGCAGCAACAATACATTTCCTGGTGTATGAGGTCAATAATTCGCAGGCCGTGTGGAGGCTAAGAATTTCTAGTTAAGAGTTAGACTTCAGTAGAACTTACGTAGATCTGATGAATTGTTTTAAACCACTTTGAAGTAATTAATATATTATCCAAGTTATTTGAGTGCTAGGAAATAGATTGATTTTAGTAATTGAATATAGAATAGGAACTTTACACCCACATTTGTAACTGGGAAAGTTTAAATGTTGCCAAATGTTGTGCTGTTGATCATGCTAGTAAATGAGCTGTACCTAGGAAACTAATTGTTCTTAGGTTACAAAAAAATGGCCTACAGGTGTAAGGCCAAGGGAGTCTTTACATGACCATGAAAAAATATGTATTGATTGTCTTTGCTCTGCTTCAATGCTTATGCTGATGTAATCCCACCGCTCGCCTTAAGGTATAAATAAAGACCCGCTGAGAGACCCTCAGCAGGAGATACTTGCACCAGAGAGGGTGTCTGTGTCTACCTCACTTCTACCTCGCTCCACTTCCCCTCAGCCCTCAGTCCTCCGAGAGAAAACTTGGCCGACACCATCCTCTCCTCTCTGAGACCCCTGACACAATTTCTAGCTGGGTCTGGTCTCCAGCATTCTAGCTCCTACAGCCACATAAAAAATGACAGAGTAGAAGGAAAAGAAAAAAAGTAGTTTCTGAAGAGTTTAGTACCAGGTGGAAGGGTCCAGATACACACAACATGGAGAAAATGCTGTTTTCTCATCTCCTGAGGTGGACACTGACTAGTAGTGAGCCCAGAGATGGCCTCTGCATTGCTGCCCCCACAGTGGCAGTGAGCCTAGAAGGAGGCCTTCTTTTGGATCATTCTGGAAAGCAGCCAAGAAGTGACATGATTCACAAATGAATGGCCAGTAAAACTGTATTCACCTCCCAATCTCTGTCTGGAGCTGAAAGCATTTCTAGCCAGGGAAATGCAGTGCACTGGATTTAAGCTGTATTATTTTAAAAGGCAATTTCAGAGCTTCCAGGTTGGTGAATAGATAGATTCAAAGGGAGAGGTATACTCAGAGTCTTTCCCCTTGTCTTGCCCTATGCTTCTCTTTCATCTAGCTGTCCCTGAGTTCCAAAAAAGGGGTCACTGGAATTTCCAACCTATAGACGATTCTGATGGAAGCACAGATTGTTTTCTTAACATCAAAAGCAAAGGTAACAAGCACAAAAATAAACTAAAAGACTTCTTTCCAGTAAAGGAAGCCATGCATGGCAGAAAATAGTTGCACATCCTCATCTGGTACAGGGCTAATATCCAAAATATATAAAGAACCCATACAACTCAGGGAAAAAGAAAAACACAATCTAATTTAAAATGAACAGAGGAACTGAGATGTTTTCAAAAAAGACATATTGATGGCATGAAAAGGTGCTTAGAAAGTACATGAGAGGTACTTAGAAAATCATTAATCAACAGGAAAATGCAAACTAAAACCACAACGTATTTTTACTTCACACTTGTTAGAATGGTTATTATCAAAAAGAGAAGAAATAAGTGTTGGTAAGGATGTAGAGAAAAAAGAACTCTTATGCACTGTTGGTGGGAATGTAGGTTGGTGTAACCACTATGGAAAACAGCACGCCATGTTTCAAGAAATTAGAAATAGAACTACCAGATAATCCAGCAATCCCACTTTGGTATTTGTCCAAAGAAATGAAAACACTAACTTGAAAAGAGATGTGCGCCTCCGTGTTCATTGCAACATTATTTATAATTGCCAAGACAAAGGCAACCTATAGAATGGAAGGAAATATCTGGAAACTATATCTGATAAGGGGTTACTATTGTAAAAATATGAGGAAATCATAAACTCAACAGCAAAAAAAAAAAATCCCAATTAAAACTGGTCAAAGGGTCTAAGTAGATAGTTTTCCAAAGAAAACATATAGGTACATAAAAGAGGACTAGAAGGGAGGGAAGCGCAGAACCCTGCTCCCCTCCCCCGCCCACAGAGGCGGCACTCTCCACCGGCAGAGAGGAGAAAAACAACAAACCAAAACGACCAACAAGAACAAACGACTCAGCAAGCGGGACTGTGAGCGGAAAGGAACTATTGCAGCCACCACACCCCGTGAACGGGAGCTGAGGCGAACCCTGCAGGATCCGCCGCGGCGGTGAGCGAACGGCTCCGGGCGCCATTAGAGAAGAACAAAGACCCCGGGAGACGCGCACACAGCCCGGGCTGCCGGTAAGCTGGCGCGGATAGCGGCGCGCTCGGCGCGCTTGAAAAGCAAGTGCAGACCGGAATCGCGGCTGCCCAGGTCCCCGCGCCTGCGACCTAGGCTTGCGGGGAGACGACCTAGGCTTGCGGGGAGACGCGCGGAGGTCCTCACTGAGGTGAAGGTCCCTCCCTGAGTGAGCAGGAACCAGGCGCCCAGGCACGGGAGCTGTGCAAAAGGCGCCCTTCCCGCGCCACTGAACTGGGCTACAGCCCGCGTCCTGGAACTGAGGGCTTTGAACTGAGACCCTGGGCACGAAAATTCGGGGCGTGGTTTCTCCACGACGGTGGGGCACAAGGCAGACACAGCACCCCAAAGCTGTTGAGGTGTACCCTACCATTCCCGCTCTGTTCTCTGTCCCACGGGGTGGGGGGAGGCGAAAAACAGCCCCCCAAGGCCAATAGGAGAGATCTCTGGCGCCACCTAGCGACCAGGAAAAAAAAAGTCACTAACACCCTATAAAACAGGACATTTCTTAAGACTGCTTGAAAAGGGCAGAAGGTTTCTGGAGGACCCAGTGGCCAGCCGGGAAGTTATTCCACGCCAGGCCCCTTCCGACCAGCAGTCTGAGCCCACAGAGGGAGCAGGCACCCACGTCCGGGGCAGACCGGGGGCGCAGAAGAGTGTGCCTGAAACCGGAGGCGCAGGGACTGCATCCCGCTTCGCCATTTGAGAGCAGGGACATTTCTTCAGTAAAAACTGCCTAAAACCAGCAGAAAGCTCCCCCAGAAGACAGAGATGGCTCCTGGAAGAGCCAGAGGGGAGCGGAGAAGTTCACCCAAGATGTCAGTCAGTCCGAGCAACACAGTATCCCAACGCATACGACAAATTAGAAAACAGACAGTAGGGAGTAGAAGAACCACACGCAACCTAACAACTCCTCAGGAAAGAAGCACACCACAAAAAGAAAACCACTCCCCAGATTGCAACGACAACAACTTGGAAGAACTTCTGAGCCTTCCAGAAAGAGAATTTAAAATTGCCATGATTAAAAAAGTGATAGATCAGAAGAAGGAAATTGAGTCCCTAAAGAGGGAAGTAAGAGAAATGCAGGAGATCAAAGAATTAATGGAGGAACTAAAGAACTCTGGGAAAAGCAATGAAAGCAGAATAGATGAAATGGAAGAACGAATAAGTAATCTTGAAGACACAGAAATAAAAAGAACCAAAACAGAAAAGGAAAGAGAAGTACGAAGGAAAAAGAATGAAGAAAGACTTCGGGAACTATCTGACTCCATGAGGAAAGGAAATATAAGAGTTATAGGAATTCCAGAAGGAGAGGAGAGAGATGTAGGAACAGAGAAAATATTCATGGATATAATTGAAGAGAACTTCCCAAATGAGAAGAAGGAGCTGAAAATTGATATACAAAAAGCAAGAAGAACACCAAACTTCCACGACGAAAGGAAAAATACAGCAAGACACATAATAGTAAAGCTCCCAAGAATCCAGGACAAGGAAAAAATAATGAAGCTGACAAGAGGGAAGAAACAGATAACATTCAAAGGAAAACCAATCAGGCTGACATCAGACTTCTCTGAAGAAACACTACGGGCAAGGAGAGAGTGGAGGGACATAGTCAACAGACTCCAAGAAAACAGATGCCAACCAAGAATACTCTATCCCGCAAAGCTCTCTTTCCTCCATGAAGAA